TTTTTTTTTTTTTTTTTTTTTTTTGAGACAGGGTCTCCCGTTTAGTTGAGGCTGGTCTTGAACTCATTATGTAGCCCAGGCTGGCTTCGAACACACGGCGATCCTCCTGCCTCAGCCTCCCAAGTGCTGGGATTACAGGCCTGCGCCACCACGCCCAGCTGAGACTTCTGAGTGGGAGCTCCTGAAGGAAGACTGTCAAGATGTTTCCAGGAGGCAGAGAGGGCTGGATGGAGTGGGCAGAGCAGGAGAGGACTGGGAGCTGGAAGGTTCGGCGAGGTACATGGACCATGGTGAAGACCGTGAAGCTGGAGGGGGTCGGTGGGGCTGGAGTGACTGTGGCCAGACCAAGGAGTTTGGCTTTTCTTGGGGGGCAGAGGGGGACGCAGGAGACCCCATACGTGGCCGTTACAGGAAACCAACCAAATACCTACTAACCGCACACACCTCAGTGAAAGGTCAGGCGGGGTTTCCAAGGCTCCTGGAGAAGGGGCTGATGCCCTCCTTTCACTCCCCCAGACCCACAGAGCCTGCCTCCCCCCACCGCCCCCAATCATGCTGCTGGGCTGTGGGGGATTCTGTTTTTATCCATAAAGCGTGCAAAACTTTTCTGTCCTCAGGGTCCTGGCTGAACCAGAGAATTAACAGATGGATTAACAGGGACAAAGCACACAAGTTTATGTAATGCAAGTTTTACATGGCACAGAAGCCCTCATAAAGAATGAAGTGCTGAAGAAGTCAGAGCTGAGTATGGTGGCACACGCCTATAGTCCCAGCACTTGGGAGGCTAAGATGGGAATTTGACGCCAGTTTAGGCTACTTCATGAGTGCAAGGCCAGCTTGAACCAAATAGAGAGACCCTGTTTCAAGCCACCCTCCCCAAAAAAGGAAGTTAGAGGTTATAGGGAGTTACCTACACCTCCATAGTTGCATTCAGTTGTGGTCTGAAAATATTATGTAGAAAATCCCAGGGCGGGGGATTTAGCTCAGTGGCACCCTGCCTGTCTTGCGGATGCAGGGTCCTGAGTGCAATCCCCAGTACCAAAATAAAAAATTCCAGAGAAGAGCAAATCCATGTATATTGGTCATTTGGTCATGAGAATAGTTCAGTACAGTTAAGTACTTAATTCTTTCTGTAGAAGTGATGTTATAGGTGGGATCCCATCTAAGTTGGGCCTCGATAGGATGAGAAAACAAAATGTTTAATGAGAGACATTTTATGGAAACAAAAGAAAAGCAAAATTTAGTGCTTAGAGCCAATACCAATCCAGTTTTGATTCCAGAGTGCAGTCAATGGAGAACATTTCGGTTTGGAGCATTCTTAGTTGGAGATGAGGCAGGGACAATGTTGGTAAATTTCCTTGTCTATAGTTTGGCTGTCTCTGGTGATGTCATTGTGTGTCCTGGTAAACTGTTCAAGTGGCTTATATAGTAATGGGGATGAAGGATGTGTAAACATGACCTGTTGTGGTGATTTATCTGAAGTTTATGTCAAGTTTCCAGCTTTCGCTTGTTAGGGATTTAGGAAAATGAGTCTTTTGAGGTGTTTGTGGTACTGGCTATTAAACCCGGGGCTTGTA